CAGCAAGATGGCTCAGTGGTTAGCACTGTTGTCTCACAGCAAAAAGGTCCTGGGTTCGATCCCTTGTGCAGACCTGGTGTCTTTGTGTGGAGTTTGTGTGTTCTCCTCGTGCTTGTGTGGGTTTTCTCCGGGTACTCCAGTTTTTCCCACACATCAAACATTTGTACAGCAGGTTGCCTGAACTCATCTTAATTTCGACCCTCTACTGCGCCTCATAAGACCGAGTTTAGCTGAAACTCCTCAGACTGAAGAAGTTTGATCATTTTTACCTGTCTCTTTGTCGTGGCATCATCCGGTCCTGGCTGGACTTCTTCACCACTAACAGGAACCAGTAAAAGGCCCTGGGTTCGGTCCCAGTGCTGCAGGATGTGCTCCACTGCAGCCTGGATCTGCTCATATTCAGCAAAGTGCCGCTGCAGCTCGTCCTGGGTGAAGACGGGAACATTAAGATGAGCACTGCAGCTAAATGTTTCATGTTGTAAAGAAACCTGTCAGCAGAGTTTGACCTTTTTCCTCTCCGTTTTGTGAGGTGATTGAGACGACTCTAAAATAAGAAAACACAACGTTATAATCCTCTGTGTGAACTGAACAACTGAACTGTTTGTTTACATTTACCTGCAGCTTTGGTCACATTTTGTTCTTCTTTTGTGTCCACAAGGGACTGTTTAGAGTCGCTCAACGAAGACTTCCTCAGGACGTTTGGCATAGCTGACTGCAGAAAGACTGAAGGGTCAGTTTGCATTTTTAGGTTTATTCATGTAGTTTTGTTAAAAAGTGGAGAGACCTGCTTCCCGTTCATCAGGATTTTCTTCTTGGAAACATCATCAGCATCTTTCTTTCCTGCTTTTGTATTATTTTTCCTCAGTTCATCCTCTCTCAGCCTCTTCTCTTCGTTTGACATCTGTTCGAGCTCCCTTAAACACAGCGGTGTCAAAAAATAAACCTTTCTTTAAACGGGTCTATGAAGGGTAGCAGTGAGGTCTGAAAGAACTTCCTGAATTCACACATAAAAGAAGAATAAAAAGTACATAAAAGTCCTGACTGGTGATTTAAAACCTAGATGAATTATTTCCAAAAGAGTTGATTCTAAAACTTGAAAAAGAAAAGTCCGTTTAGAAACTGGTCTATAATTGTTGGGTGGAAGCTAAGGTTTGTTGAACCTGATAAAAACAAAGAATCAGATTAAATAAAGCAGGGCTATTCAACTGGTGGCCCGCGGGCCATATCTGGCCTAAGTGACCAAAGTTCGGCCCGCCAATTGGTTCATTCATCTCTTAAGTCCAAACCCCCTGTTTTCTACTTTAATTACTATAATTTTTTTAGTTAAACATAAGCTGTGTTTACATTGCAAATGTGCGAAAACTCTATTGATATTCTGTTAATGTAGAAAAACACAGTTTCACCACTGCAGTGTTTCTCATAAGTAAGAAATGCTATTAAAGTCACACGTGAATACATTTGTTCTCACGATAATTCATTACAAACATGGCGGCGATGGATGTAAACACATAGCATGTTGCTACCACGACACTAGCGGTCCTCATCAGAGGAGACGTCGGCGTCTTATCCAGGCTTTAGAGTGACAAGCCTCTTATACTTGGGAGCGGCTACGTATGCTGTGTTTTTGGGAAATTGTAGTCGGTGATTTTACTATTTTCTTTTACAACTTCGTTGATTTTACTACTACTACTTCCTGTTATCTTCTTCATCGACGTTTTTTTTTCGCCAGTAGAAACAGCCAGTTCTTGATCACGTGACTTCCGTGATGCAAAAAAAGTGTTTCCATTGCAGTTTTGCGAAACACACCAATTTCGATACGGCCGAAAAATTACATCGTCCTAGCGCAAAAACATTTTGTCGAAAAACGTAATTTTTTTTCTCGAAATTGACGTGTTTCCGTTGAGCAAATTTATTTTCGAAATTCTAATTTGCGAATTTTCATGGTCAATGGAAACGCAGCTAGAGACATGTGTGGTATCTACAGAAACATCAGAATCTTTGCTACAAGCTGGTAAAAACATTTCTATGAACACTGAAGACAGTTTAAACTACAAACAGTTGAAGATAAAACTATAAAAGTGAAAATAAAATTTGTTTAAAATTTTGGCAAGTCAGAGATGTCAAAATAGTTTGTGTTAAATAAGAGGCCTAATGTGTTCTTTTTGTTTTTGGTATTGTTTATGTTGTACTCATAATTAAATGCAGCAAAATAAACCATTTTTAAAATGTAACAGATCTTTGTAATACTTGGTTTATTTACATAATGACTTTAATTGCTGGATGTTCGGCCCCTGAGCTGTTGACCTGCAGTAACTGTGGCCCCTGGGGCATTTTAGTTGAATAGCCCTGAGATAAGGTTTATGGTATTGAAGAAATTTATTGGGTTTGTTTACTACTGACTTGTAAAAACCACTACACATTTTATAGTTCTTTCTTAGGTGAAACATGATATAGTTTTATAAACCATTGTGTGATTATTTGTGTGATTAAACTGGTGATTTTGTGTACAGACTGGTCTGAGTGGCTATAAATATAGTTACCCAGGGCAGGGGGGTACTGTTAGATTAGCTGCATGCCTGAACACACTTATAACACTTAACTGATCCGTTGTTTTAACATTAGAACAGGAAAATTGTTTGAGGACCTGACTCCAGTCGTAGTGTGGCCCTTTTTGATGATGCAATGATAATGGGCGGAGTCAGGTCCTGAAGGAGGTTATAAAAGTGTCCTGGTTTCCTGAATCGAGGTTGAATGCAGAGACAAGCTCTGAGCTAATAAACCTGCCTTCAGTCAGAGCGCTGTGTGTTTGTAAGAAGTCTTTTCACATTCAAACATTCATATAATGGTGTATTTTCTATCTGGTACAAACACTTAATAAGGTAAATGAACACGTAATTTTCTCAGGATGTTGGATGTGCGTTGTGTCTGTACCTCCGCTGTCGAAGCACCATCGAGTGTTTCTGGGTGACACGCTCTCTCTCGTCTTCTGGCAGAGAGTCAAATGTGTCCTGGTCCATTTCCCACAGCCAGCTCTCCTCCCTGAGAGCTCTCTCTTTCTGCAGGGCTTCTGCAGGACACAACGACACATACACCATCTAACCCCACCGTGTGATGAGTTAATGTGACGAGGCAGGAGCTGCTGCAGATTTTACCTTCAGCTGCTCTCTGCTGGTTTTCCCGAGCCTTCAGGGCCTCGTAGGTGTCACATAAATTAACTACGTAGATGTGTTTTCGGTTATTAAGAGCCTTCAGAATGATCTGGAGTGTGCTTGATGGAGAGTGAGTGTACAGTGACTTCAGGCCATCAATAACTACTCCAGGGTGACAGTCAGTTAACTGTTAACACAAGGACAACATGAGAAAAAACAAGTTAAATATGAATATAAAACCTTCTTTATGTGACTTTTTAAAGCACAGGGCTCTGTACTTGGACCAAAGTTGTTTCTTTTATACGTAAAAAAGATGGCTTCACAAAAAAAAGCCATTTTTGTGAAGAAAGACCGTCCATCATTAAACAGAGGTGGGGGCCTCCGTTTTCAGTTGTCCCCTCCTACAGCGTGGCTATTGCCAGTATCACTCCACCCCCTGTTAACAATAGGTGTTAATTAGGTGTCAACGATAGCCATGTGATGTGAGTATCAGTCACATGGAGGCAGTGCTTAAAAGCCTGAATTTTGCCTGAAACTCTCAGACTGAAGAAGTCTCTTGGAGGAGAGACGAAACGTTTCATTAGAGAAGAACCCGTCCAGAAGACCTATACAATTTTTTTCTTTTTGATTTTTTACCTGGATTACTGAGATGCATCAGGACATTTATACGTAAATGGTCTGGTAAATGTGTCGAAGTTGTTTAGATGTGTTTTGTTTGCAGATGACACTTTATTTTTTTTGTTTGGGTAAAAATTTGGAACAAACGTTGGAAATGATGCAAACAGAATTTGCAAAAATACAAAATTGGTTTAAGCTTAATAAATTATCACCAAATTTAGACAAAACAAATTATATGATATTTAACAAAAGAACGGTTGATGTTTCATTTAAAGTTGATGGTGTTGACATTTGTAGAGTCAGGCAGGTGAAGTTCTTGGGTGTTATTATTCATGAAAACGTGACTTGGAACTCTCACACAAATTATTTAAGAACTGAAATAGCAAAATCCGTCGCAGTACTATAAAAGGTAAAGGATTTATTTAATGATAAAGCACTGTTTGTACTATGTAACGCAATAATTGTTCCACATTTGAATTATTGTGTTAAAGTCTGGGGAATAGCATATAAAACATGCAAATTCTATTTTTATTTTGCAAAAAAGGGCCATAAGAATTAAAGCCGGAAAACATTATAATCACCCATCGAATATATTGTTTCATCAACTGAATTTATTAAAATTTTATGAGTTGATTTTAGGATTTTGCTGTTTGTGTTTAAGGCTCATAAAAACACATTACTTTTGAATATTCAATCTAAATTCATCAAGAGGGAAAGTACTAATAATCTTAAAGAATTTGAAATGTGAAACCTAAAATTCGAATTAATTTGAGAGAGGTACCTCAGTTCAAGGAATAAAGCTGTGGAACAACTTGTTAGCGATTATAAAAATGCTGGTTCTATGAAGTTATTTGGAAGATTGGTAAAATCTGACCTGTTGACAAAATATGAAAACATATAATAATCATTCATATAAGCTGCTCTTTGAATAATTGCAAATCTTTTTTATTTATTTTTCTTTTCTTTTTGCTGATGAATACTATTTATGTATATGTATGTAGTGGTGTATGTAATACATACATTTTCTTGTTAAATGGGGGCAGACATAATATTTTTTTTCTTCTTTCTGCTCCTTTTCATTTTCATTTTAATGACATTTTGTTTGTGTTATGTTAGAATTTTTTTATTAATTAAATCAAAAAAATTAATAAAACTTTTTTTCGTTGGTCTTTTCTACGACGGAGTCTGAGGGAGTAAATTCTGGTAGTCTGACCCTTTTACTTTTCTGAAGTGCTCCTGGTGAAAAGTTTTGTTTAATGTACCTGAAGTCTCTCCACCAGGATTTCAACTAGCATCTGTTCAGGCAGGAGGCTGCTGAGTGTGGAAACGTCCAGTTGTTGTAACTAAAAGAAAGGTTTTTCTGTTAAATGTTGAAAAAGAATCTGAACTGTGCCGAAAGCAAACAGAGAAGAATGTGAGGAGGAGCACCTCAGAGGAGTCAGAGACTTCTTCTGTCTCCTGGAAGGTTCTGGAGACGTCTCTTCTGCAGTTCTGTGTCTCTGCAGCAGGTTCTGATGGTGTTGTGTCTGCAGTTTGGCCTGACAGAAGCAACATTCATGTCATATAAAGATTTATTTGTTTTAATGTGCAGCGTTCGTTTTTCAGCATCTAACTCATTCCACAGTTTTTGTGCCATTTCAACCATTCATATATCAAAACGTTCAGCTCATTCATGTGAGGGCTGCTATGACATTTGGTATTTCAGATTTTTATACTTTTTTAGCTATTTCACTTTTTTAACCACTTTTTTGCCATTGAAAATGAATGAAGCTGTTTTCAACAACCTTAAAACCCTTTAAAATGTTTCTAAATCTTTACAGCAACTTACACATTTTGTCCTGGTTTGGCTCTTTTCACATTTTTGTGCTAATTTTAGCTACTTTTCTGCCAATTTTAGCTTTTGTCTGCTATTTCAGCTAAAATTCTGCTTCTTTCTGCTTTTTTGGGCCTTATTTCTGCTATTTTGAGCTATTCATGCTTCTTACAGATGCTTTCTGCTATATTCAGTATTTGCTGCAAGTTTAGCTAATGTTTAGTTGCTATTAGCTAAAGTTAGCTTTTCTAAGCTAAATACACATTTGTTTGTAGCTATTACAACTTTTTTCAGCTAAGTTCAGCAAACCTTGTTTCTTATGCTTTCTTATGCTATTTAAATCATTTCCAGCTACTTTTTAGCTGTTTTACTGAAAATTTCAGCTGTTTTAGCCATTTTAAAAGATCACATTTTTGTACTTATATGCATTTTTTCTGCTAGTTTTACAAAATTTTACAACACTTTCTCTATCTGGGTGCTAATTTCAACTTGTGGCTGCTAACTTTAGCCTATTTGATGCTAATTTGAGCTATTTTATGTTACTTTAGCTATAGATCTGCTTCTTTCTGCTATTCTTCTGCTTTTTTCTACTTTCTGCTACCTAGTGTTTTTTATGCTTCTTACAGATGTTTTAAGCTATATTCAGCTATTTTAGCTCTTAGATTTTAGCTGTTTTCAACTACATTAATGCTCCATTTCACTTTTTTTTGCAAAGTTAGGAATTTTTGCTTCTTTCATTTTTTTCAAAGTGTTATTATAAAGTTTAACACTTTTCCTATCAAATATTTTCAGCTGAAGTTTTCAGCATGAAGCTTTCACACTAGCATTTTTGCAGGAAGTGCAGTTTCTCTAGTTATCCTTACCCTGAGCGTATGCTTCAGCTGCAGTGTTATAGAGCTGCCTTGCTGAAAGGCTAACAGCTGAGGAACCATTCTGGATGAGGTCTGTGACCACGGCATCGACGCTCAGAAGCGCTGCTCCGTAGTGAGCTGCCAGAGCAGCAGCTGTGCCGCTTTTATCTGCAAAACAAAGTTGATATTTTTATAAATGCTCATCACTTTTTAATCTTGATGGTGTCCTCTGCTCATCACAGGGATGAGTGACAGGTTACCGCTCTGAGGGGCTCCGTGGACGATGATATAAATGCCTCTGTGGTTCTGTGTTGACAGTGTGTCAGGGGGCAGGTCCAGGCCCATGTGGCGGGTGAGGGCCAGGATTACAGGGCTCAGCTGTTGTCCTGGTCTCTGACCGTTTCTGAATAACCCTCGGAAAACTTCACAGACAGACAGTTTTTATATATACTGTCAGAACCTATAAGGTCCTGAGTCAAACCAAGAATTAAACAAATGAATTAAACCAAAGCTTGCTTGTGTATATTATTTTACTAAGACTTTGTTTCCATGTTTGTTAACCAAAACGCTGTGCAGTGGCTTTTGTGCTGGAAAAAACAAATCAGATTTTTTAATTGCAGAAAGAACGATTTGATGAAATGAACCTGAAGACCATTAAAGGAGACATCATGATTTTAAATCCTTCAGTTGGGGTCTATAGAAAGTGAAAATCTGACTTCCTCCTTATTGTAATTCCACAAGCCCCGCCCATTTCCTGAGCTGTGTCTCAGATCAACTCGTTTTGTGGCCGTCCAGAGACTGACTTTATTTAGAAGTTCCGTCACAAACGCTGTGATGTAATCGTTCAGAAAACCTCATAGAAAACAGAGAAAACTTAACAGGTTAAAGAATCTGACCCAAACAGGATATAAAGATATCTTTGCAGAATCGGGAAGACTAAACTCAACTTTTCTGCCTCCTAGAGACTCCAAGTCCACAACAAAATGCTTGAGTTTGGACGACCGTTCAGATCTGAACATGAAGGCTGACTGAAACTTTTAGGTTTTATCAGCAGCTACAGTTTAGTGAGGTACCTAAGGGCCATCTCCAACCAGTCTTTGTTTAAAAAAAGCAGGTGATGAGAATTATTTCAAGGAAAAATACTTATTTTCTCCTTACAGAAATCATCGGGCGTCACGTTGAAGTTGTTGGTCTCTGTTCGGACATTACGATCCTCCGTTTTCCTCGAGTCGTTCTGACTTTTATCATTAGCTCCTTCAGCACTCAGCTCTGGTGAAGACAAACAAAACAGATGTTTTCAGAGATCCAAACACATCTGTGAAGCTGTTTTTAACAAAGCTACCGTTGCCTTTCAGCTGGGAGCACAGGTCCTTGTAGTGGTCCAGCAGCTCTGAAGGAAGACCCTGTCCAGGGACCCTCGGAGGAAGCAGCAGCGTGTTCTTCTCATCATATCCAGGCATCAGACGCAAGACCTGAGGTTGTGTCCAAACAACAAAATGTCCCATAGACAGATCTAACTGAACTGAATCTCAGATTTGTGTCTTTTTGTGTTTATCAGCATCATCTCTCCTAACTAAAAAAAAAAAAGACGAACCTCCTCCTCTCTGAGGTGTTCTTGGTCAAACTCCAGGCAGTAAAACTCGACGGGGAACAAGCTGTGGTTTTTGACCAGGACCTCAACCTCTGCCTCCATGTTGAGAGGAACACAAGGTCCCAGCTTCAGGTCTGACGGGCAGAACTCAAGTTGTGGCTCCGCCCCCTGACCCTGAGCTGTGATGAACAGTGGCTGAGTGTTGTGGAGCACACGAAGCTTCAGCCGCCTGCTGTAAGAACGCTGGAAGACATGTAGAGTGTTTCAGTCTGATGGTCCCCATTAACATCACTGGATGGATGGATGGATGGATGGATGATGGATGGATGGATGGATGATGGATGGATGATGAATGGATGGATGGATGATGGATGGATGGATGGATATATGATGGATGATGAATGGATGATGGATGGATGGATGGATGATGGATGGATGATGAATGGATGGATGGATGGATGGATGGATGGACGATAAATGGATGATGAATGGATGGATGGATGGATGATGGATGGATGATGAATGGATGGATGGATGGATGGATGGATGGACGATAAATGGATGATGAATGGATGGATGGATGGATGATGGATGGATGATGAATGGATGGATGGATGGATGGATGGATGGATGGATGATGAATGGATGGATGATGAATGGATGGATGATGAATGGATGGGTGGATGGATGATGAATGGATGGATGATGGATGATGGATGGATGGATGGATGGATGATGAATGATGGATGGATGATGAATGATGGTTGGATAGTTGGATGGATGGATGGATGGATGGATGGATGGATGGATGATGAATGATGGATGGATGATGGATGGATGATGAATGATGGTTGGATAGTTGGATGGATGGATGATGGATGATGGATGGATGAATCTGGGACACAGTAGGATGTAAAATCTCTGATATTGGGTACAAACAGGATAAAAACAGAGCACCTCCTCTGCAGGACTGAACTTGATGTGGACATTAACTCGGTCACCAGGGTTCAGCACTCCTCTGCAGGGAAGAGCCTTAAACACCGGAGACCCCCACTCCTTTAACCCTTTAATCCTTTGACCCCTGGACCAAAGGGGGAATTTATTACCCTCCACCTAAAATATGACCAAAAATGTAAAAGTGACATCGTTTTTTTATCATGTGGAGAATTTTCTGACAGTTTTTGAATGGAATAAGATTCATACAAATAAAACGGTTGTACCTTGACAGGTTTCCCCTCCTCTGCCAGACGCCACTGACTCTCAACAAGCCCGTTGTTCATCAGCTGGACGGTCTGGATCTACAAACAAACATATTTATTGATTGATTGATTTGTGTTTGTTTACTAAAAAAAGAGAAATCTACATAAAATAAAACACAAATTAAGTAATGAAAGGAAGCAGAAAGAAGAAAAAAACTTTCACCAAAATAAATTCTAACAATATTAATATATAAAAAATAAGTCCTTCTCAAACAATTTGTATCAGTACACACTAAACTGTATCATATTTCTTCAACAAATAACCTTTTCTCTTAAACAAACACATTGATCTGACAGTTTTAACATCAGTCTCCGTCTTATTTTCTGTAGTAAATAACTCAACTGCTTCAAACTTGTTAAAAAAAGGTTTTACAAAAGTCTTCATTTTCTTTTAATAAAATAACTATTAAAATTGGATGTTTAAAGGTAATGTGTTTTTATGAGCCTTATAAATAATCTGTAAAATATTATATTCTATAAATTATTTAGCTAATTAGTTAGCTTTTGCTACTTTTAGCTGCCATTCTGCTAATTTTATGTTTTACCAAGTCTTTTGCTACATTTAGCTAGCCTTCTGCTTTTAGCACTAAACAGTCTGTGTTTTTGCAGAAAATGAAATTCCTTAAATGAATTGTATTTTTTATAAAACTTAAAGCCATCATGCCTACAGGACAGGTAAAGTGAAGCAGAGTACCTGACACATGCAGCACTGCACCGTGTCAAACTGCAGTCTCTCTGTGGAGACCGTGATGGTCGGCACGATGACGTCGGCGCACAGCCGCACCTTCACCTGAGGTCCACCTGAAACCTTTGAGACCGAACAAACAGCTGGTCTGAATCAAGCTGCTGGAGCCGAGGTGAGTTTGAAACAGCTTTAAAGATCTGTGAGCACCTGGATCAGCAGGAGAGCGCTCCTCCTCCCCGGAGCCAGGCCTTCTTTAGGATCAAACTTAACGGTGAAGGTCTGGGTTTGGCTGCAGAGCAGGGTCCTCGGCTGCTGAAACTCAGCTGAAAACCCTTTAAAAACACACAAGGTTCGGTTCTGTTCTGTTGAGAGAAGAGCAGTGAAGACGGCAGGTGCAGGTGTCATGTTACCTGTTCCTGTAAGGTGTTTACAGTTGGTCCTGAAGGACGCTGGTATCAAACTGTTATTGGTCATCGTTACAGTTTGACTCACAGATCCTTCAGGAATTACAATCCCAAAGTCCAGGAGGTAATCTGAGAGCTCACAGCTGGTGGGAGGAAAACATTTCACCACCTTATTAAACATCTTTATTATTTAATTATTAAACATCTTTATTATTTTATTATAAAACATCTTCATTATTTTATTATAAAACATCTTCATTATTTGATTATTAGACATCTTTATTAGTTTATTATTTTATTATTTGTTAATATACTGTATATTAAATCACATTTCTACACTTTAAATCAACCAGAGCACAAACTGAACAAACCAGACAGGAATCTCTCATTAACATGGATTCTTTGAATTTCAGCAGTTTTTACTTCATCTGTTAATCCAATGTGTGTGTGTGTGTGTGTGTGTGTGTGTGTGTGTGTGTGTGTGTGTGTGTGCATACTTGCTCAGTTTAAACCACTGTGAGTGGGGAGCAGCAGAGTTTTCTCTGCCCCGCTCGGCCTCCTGCACCTCCTCACTGTCGCGCTCCTCTGCTGCAGGAAACCCACAGACTGTTAGGGAGGCAGGGCAGGAGGTTCACAGACAGGAAAACTTCTAAAATTAACTATCTGAAGAAGACTAGCCCAGCATCATTATCACTATGAAGTTGTGTGTGATGTGTGTGCGTACTCGGGGTTTGTGGCAGATTCAGAGTGATTCTGGGGAACACTCCCTCCCCGCTCAGAGTGATCTGCTCAGGTGTTTGAGAGGCGACCTGCAGCCAGAGCAGCTTCTCAAACACCTGAGGGACACCTGGCAGGTACAACACACGCAGGTGTTTCTCATGGCCAGCCTCGATGGAACCCTGGTACCAAAAACACACAAATATAATGAAGAAGATGTTAAACGTTCAGTCAGGAACCGGCTGCTTGATTAACTCACCGCAGCTGGACACACCACTGGCCTCCCGGGTCTGACCTTCATATGACGTCTTGCACCTTGTTCACCCTCATCCTTCTGTTCTTCACCTTCAGGGTACGTGACGCTGAAATCAAAACCTACCTTTCCAGTATTCCTCACAATCATTTCAACCTCTCCAACATTGTAAAAAAGCTGAAAGAGAAAAGAGGCAGAGGAATAAACGCTGCTGGCTCTGTTACATTTAGCTCTTCAGCAGGAAATAAAAAGGTCCTTTTCAAACAAGAAAAGTCACAAAAAATGTTTTGAAGCAGGTGAATCGTGCAAACAAGCATGTGAGCTACAAAATAAAACAACTAAAACAAACGACTGAAACGGCGAGGAAGGAAAGAAGGTTGGAGGAAAGTTCTGCTGAGTTGCTTTTTCTCCTAAATCAGAAATCGATGTGTTGCTGTTCTGAATATAAATGATAAGTGGTCCTGATGGCTTGAATACTTAAAGACCAGAGTGTGAGAAGAAGGCAGTGACATTAAAAAGGTGCTTTTCTCACCTTTTTTTACCATATTAAACTATGATAAATGATTCATTTATATCAATTGTTTTCTTTTCTTTCAGCGTTTACTTTTTATGTTAAAGGGTAAAGTCACAGTTTAGGTGTAATATTTATAAAATCTGTTCTGTCAGTATTGGGACATGGCTCTGCAAATCAACAACAAATAAGAAAAGCAAACTATTGCAGAACAGTAATAAGCAGCAGAAAATGTAGAACTGTTTCTTGAGATGAACGTACCTGCAGGCCAAAGTTCAGGTGTGCAGGTTCGAGCCTGTAGCTGATCTCTGATGTTTGTCCTCTGAGTTTGACTTCATACGTCGGTCCGTCTTCTACGTGACAGTCAGCAACCGCCTCTCTGCTGACGTTCTCAGGACTGAAGAAGGAGAATGTAACGATGGCACTCTCTCCAGGCTGCAGGACACCCAACATTGGAGCGATGTTGAAAACCTGAAGGAACAGAAATAAAAACATTAGAAGACAAATCAAGTCATGTTGAACCACTCATGATATCAGGAGGATCAGGGATCAAATTGTAGCTGAAAACACAGGAATCAGAAAAAGTGCTGAGGTTATTTTGACTTCATCCTCAGTGTGATGTCACAAACAATATGTTTAAACAGTAAAAACTTTAACACAAAGATGTTGCTGCTTAGTTAGCCTTCTGTAACATTCAGCTAGCCTTCTGCAACATTCAGCTAGCCTTCTGCAACATTCAGCTAGCCTTCTGTAACATTCAGCTAGCCTTCTGCAGCATTCAGCTAGCCTTCTGCAGCATTCAGCTAGCCTTCTGCAGCATTCAGCTAGCCTTCTGCAGCATTCAGCTAGCCTTCTGCAACATTCAGCTAGCCTTCTGTAACATTCAGCTAGCCTTCTGCAGCATTCAGCTAGCCTTCTGTAACATTCAGCTAGCCTTCTGTAACACTCAGCTAGCCTCCTGCAACATTCAGCTAGCCTTCTGCAACATTCAGCTAGCCTTCTGCAGCATTTAGCTAGTCTCCTCAGCATTTAGCTAGCCTCTTGCAGCATTTAGCTAGCCTCCTGCAGCATTTAGCTAGCCTTCTGTAACACTCAGCTAGCCTTCTGTAACACTCAGCTAGCCTTCTGTAACACTCAGCTAGCCTTCTGCAGCATTTAGCTAGCCTCCTGCAGCATTTAGCTAGCCTTCTGTAACACTCAGCTAGCCTTCTGTAACACTCAGCTAGCCTTCTGTAACACTCAGCTAGCCTTCTGCAGCATTTAGCTAGCCTCCTGCAGCATTTAGCTAGCCTCCTCAGCATTTAGCTAGCCTCCTGCAGCATTTAGCTAGCCTTCTGTAACACTCAGCTAGCCTTCTGTAACACTCAGCTAGCCTTCTGTAACACTCAGCTAGCCTTCTGTAACACTCAGCTAGCCTTCTGCAACATTCAGCTAGCCTTCTGTAACATTCAGCTAGCCTTTTTCAACATTTAGCCTACTGCTACTGTTAGCTAACCTTTTGCAACATTTAGCTAGCCTACTGCTATTTTTATCTAGCCTTCTACAACAACTGATGAAGTCAATAAGCTATTGAGGCCATCTTGAATCAAGTTGATTTAAAAAGTTCATTAGTTGTTCATCCAATGATTAATTTTTAAAGATTTCATTCAAATCTATCCACTGTCTCTGCCTACTTTTTTATAATAGGAGGAAATAGGAGGATCTGCAGCCTGACTGGAGGAAGAACTCTGATGCAAAAGTAAAACCCTGAGCACAGGTTTGGGGTATCTACATGTGTTTACCTTCACAGCAACATCAACACATGGGATGTTCTGCTCATTTAGCTGCTGGGAGCTTCTTTGAATCTAAGCCCTAAATTTACATTTATCTACCTCTTCAACGTGTACAGGGCGCGGCAGCCTGCTCTGCGGCAGCCTGCTCTGGTCGTCTGCACCCGGCCCGGGGATGGGAGGATCCCTGAGGATCTCTGAGTGTTTCTTCTTCGTCTGATTTGTGTCTCTGTGAGCGCAGACATGAAATAATACACACCACAATGTAACTATTATCATTTTCCATTGTAAATGTGGGAAAAATGTAACCAAGCATATAAAAAAATAATTATTAAAAAAAACAATTTTAATTAAAGCAGAGCAGTGTGTATAAATGTAAACTGCTACAGGGAGTAAATATGAGTTTGTATTGAACCCTACATCTGCACCCACATCCCAGAGAAGTCAGATTCTCATTTTCTTCCACAGCTCCTCTCCCTCCTTCCCTGTGGGATCACACTTGGTGCATCCATCAAGTTAATTAAACAGAGTGTTCTATAATTAAGAGGAATTTTAATAGGCAGGCAGCAGGAAACAGGTCAGGATAGATTGCAGCGAAGTGCTGAATAAACCTGGGAAAAAAATAAGGGTTTGAAGAGTGAAGAGTTTCCTTCACTGAGCAGCAAAAGTGTGGATTTGTTGATTCTGTTGGAGTGTTTGTGCACATGTGAGTGCACATGTGAGTGCACATGTCAGTGCATGACAGCAGGAACACACTGGTGCCACTGTAGCATCAGCTGATGGGAAACGTAAAAAATAAAAAATAAAAACCAGCAGGGGGCGCTGCTGGCTCCTCCATTGAGGAATCCTGCTTCTAGGTTTCACTTGTCTGACTATAACAAACAAAAAATAAGTAAAATTTAAAAAAAAGAGCCTAAAAACGAGGCGTCGATGAAAACCCAGCGGTGCGGACAGAACAGATGGTGAGACAAAGTCTTTAAGTTTTGTCTCTTCCATCCTGTCCTGCTGCCACTCACCGAGACCATTCTGTTTTCCAGCTGCAGCCGGCTGTCAGGAGCTGAAAACACAACTACACTAATGAACGATGCTACAGATATTTGTTTCTGTCTCAATGGTTTTCACTGATTTTCTGATGACAGCTGAGATTTTGCTCCTGATCATGACCCTCAGCTGATTTCTTTTGCTCCCTCTTTAGTTACTAAATCTGATCAGTTACACGATAATTAAGGTTCAATCTTGTGCCAGTAGGAATTGAATTTGAATGTGCATAATTTGAAATTGAATGCATTGGTTCGAAAATGAATTTTACTAAATTGAAACCGAATTTAAAGTTTTGTATCTGAATTAATTTGCTTTGAAACTGTGTTTTGGTTTATTAAAACTCAGTTTGACTACTTTCACTTTCAGTTCCATAATTCAGATTTTTGTGTCACATCCTGGTCCTTGAGAAAGCCAGGCAGAGTAATCAAACACAGATCCACAGATTTATGTTTCACTTTGGTGAAGTTTCCCTTCTGTATGTAACAGAGTTGATGCAATCCACTGTAAAAGTGACAAAAACAAAGTTATTTTATCGCAGTGATTAACTGTTTAACTGTTGGTTATCAACTGGTTATAAGCTGTTTAAGGGTTGTTATCAACTGGTTATGTGTTGTTTGAAGGTTGTTATTAACTGGTTATAAGCTGTTTAAGGGTTGTTATCAACTGGTT